CATAGAGGCCTCGAAAAATTGTGTGTCTGTCACCTATGTCGCTAGCAGCCTCCCAAGAGTCCTTCAGAGGCAGTTATGTTATTGGATCTACTCCCTTCCACGTTAATCGTATCCGTTATCCATTTATTTTTCAATTTTCCTAAAAATTGCATTGCCCACAATATCGGTTTATCTTGTAGTCTTCAAAGCACCAAACTACTTATCAGTCACGTGTGTGGTTCACAATTCTAAATGGGTTGAGTTTTTTTGTATCTCCCTGGAGAGCGAGGAGACTTGCTGAGACACAGAACACACCAACCACCTCTCAGAAGGAAAACGACACCAGCATTTTCCATTCCCTTTTTAAAGACAAAAGCAGTTCTGCTTTCAGACATCATTAGATGTACGAAATGTGACAGTGTTTTGATATCTGGGAAAAGCACTTCAAGCATGAAGATAAGCAACTAGCAATACCCTGAGGAGAGATGTCCCCTGGCCTATTAAGGTGGCCTCTGGACAGGGCCAAGTGAGGGAGGAATGGAAGGCAATAAGTTTAGAGGTATCAGGGGAGAAATTTCGTGGGGCAGTTACGGTCATTGTAGATGTATTAGGCAATGTTCTCCAGAGAAAAGAATCAATAAGCCGTGCGAGTGTGTGCGTCTCTGTGTGCGAGTGTGCATTCATGTGTGTGCATGTGTAGGGAGAGATATATTTTAAGGAATTGGCTCATACGGTTGTGCAATTGTGGAAGCTGGTAAGTCCCAAATCTGCTGGGTAGGCGGGCAGACAAATACCAGGGGAAAAGTTGCAGTTTGAGGTGAAGATAGTCTGTCTCTTCTTTGGGGGAGATCAGAGTTCTTCTAAAGGCCTTCAACTGCCTGGATGAGTTCCACCTATATTACGGAGGACAATCTGCTTTATTTAGAGCCTGTTGATTGCACTGTTAAGATCATTCAAAAAAAAAATACTGTTATAGAAACATCTAGAATAGTGTTTGACAAAATATCTGGGTAAAATTAACCATCATAGTAGAGTTTTTGGTTTTCAGTCTGAGTAATTTGGGAACCCTTTGGAAGGCATTCAATAAAGGAATAACGTGATCATACTTATTTTGTCATTTTTTCCCTTTAAAAACATCCACATTTTAAAATATAAATGTATTGGGGAGACAACGGTCCATAACATTATATAAATTTCAGGTTACAACTATCAGGAGACATGTGTATACTCTATTGTGTGCTTACCGCCTGAAGTCGAGTCTCTTCCCGTCACCATGTATTTGACCCCCTTTTACTCTACTTGTCTTCCCCCAGCCACCTTCCCTTCTGGTAACCACCATTCTGTCGTCTGTATCAATGACTCTGTGTGTTATTTTGTTTGTTCATGTGCTGTTTTTGTTTTAGAAGCCACATATGAGTGAAATCATACAATTCTTTTCCTTCCACCTGACTTATTTCATTTAGCATAATACTCTCATGATCTATCCATGTTTTACACAAATGGCAATATTTTATCTCCAGATTTCTTGAGGTGTAAGTGACATACAATAAACTTTGTATATTTAATGTACTTGGAATATACTTAACGTCATTTGAATAGCTTTGACATGCATACACCCACGAAACTATCACTAAAACTCTCAAGATTATGAAGTTTCCTCATGCCCACCCTTCTCTCTTTCATTTCTCCTTCCATCTGTCCCCAGGGGAATCACTGATCTGTTTTCTGTCACATAGATTCGGTTGTACCTTCTAGAAGTTTATCTAAATAAAATCATATGGTGTATAGTTTTTACTGCTGTCTTCTTGCACTCAGCATAAGCATTTTGAGATTCACCATGTTAGAATATGCATCAATACATCTCTCATTCTTTTTATTCATTCATTCATTTTTTAAATTGCTGAGTGTGAGGACATTAATTTCATTGTATGATCATATACAGCTTTCTTTTCCCCATTCACTTGTTCATGGACATTTGGGATTCTCTCTTGCTGCAAGTCTGATTTTTACTATAGCCCAGGAATTTTTGCCATTTTGCTACCATTTATTTTGCATTAACATTTTTTCTGCACCTCCTACTTGAATGTGTGTTCCCCAGGAGGCGTTTCTGTTATGTTACTGACTGCTATGTCTCCAAAGTGTGTATCACCGTGTGAGACACTTAATAGTATTTAAGTGAATGAATGAACAAATAAATTAATTAAAAAATAACCAAGCACCTTGTGTGAGCCATGGTTGATCCCTGCTGATACAGACAATGACAATAAACCTTAACACCTTTAAGCTTTCGTTATGTGCCAAGGCAGGGCAGGGATCCTGCGCTTCAGAATCTCACAGAGGTGTGGGGAGACCTGTGCATTCCTAAGGGTGTAATGGAGGTCTAAGAAAGGTCTGTGGCTATGGGATCCCCAGAGCATACGGTTTCAATCTCCCTACTCCTCAACAAGGCAGGGATCCTGCGCTTCAGAATCTCACAGAGGTGTGGGGAGACCTGTGCATTCCTAAGGGTGTAATGGAGGTCTGAAACAGGTCTGCGTAGGTGCTGTGGGAGCCTGCAGCAGCTGCTGGAGCCTGTGCATTGCCTGGGCCATATGCAGCATTACAGAGAAGCTGAATTTTGATGCAGAGGCTGCCAGTGACTGGAGAACCTCCTGCTTCCGATCCGGAGACCTGACCTGAAGCCGGACATATCAGAAACATCATAGACACTTTCTCCTATGACTCCAGTTGCTGCTCAGGCCCTCTGGACCCTAAACGTGCTCCTTCCCAAAGGGCCTGGAGGAAGTGGGGTAATTAGCCTGAGGTGACTGCTGCTGTACTCAGAGATTTGGGGCTGTTTTCCTCTCGGGTTTCTTTCCGATGGGTAAAAAGAGGTTGCCTGCCCGTTGTTGGAAGCTGGTGAAGAGATATGAAATCCTGTAAAAATCCTCAGTCCACCGAGGTTTGCTCTCTTTCCTTCAATCCTGGATCTTCTGCACGGAAAGTGAGGATACAGGTTACATCATGAAGAGGAAGGTATCTGAACTCACAGCACTGGTATAGGTCAACAGGCACCTAGAAATGCCCATAGCCATGTGTGCGCATGTGTGTGCATGCGCCCGTGCAAACTGTCTGCTAACTCATACACCGGATGACCTCAGCTAGAATATATATAAGTCAGAGAACGCACAAACTTTCCTCGCAGAAACGTATGTGCTTATTTTACTTGAGTTTTGTTGTCTGTGTGCTGTGTTTAAACACTGTGTATTACTTGTGATTTCAATATATATGACCGCTTACGACTTCAGTGCATGTGGTAGAGGGTGCGTGATAGTTCTGTGTGTCCAGCTATGAGGTGCATGTGACACTGTATTTTGTTTGTGAATTTTGCATAGAATTGTGTGACGGTGACTCATACCCTGACTGCATTTACCTACCTTGAGTATAAGCTAGAGAAGTCTATCAAATTCCCTTTTAACAAGTGTGTATCTGTCACAGTAACTGCTTTTGTGTGTAATGAACGCACACTCTGCCTTCCTTTATTCAGAAGATGTGTGGATAGAGACTAAAATCCAAGATACTAATGTGTGTTTTTGTTTAACATACTCACATTTGAATTCTCCACTTTCTACAGACCAGAATCCACACAGGCAGCTTTAAAAGAAAAAAAGCCCATTTCGAAGAAAGTAGGGGCCATTTTTCAGTGATTTGAATAATGATACAGGAGGTACCCTAGAAGCCCGAGACAATCTTCTTCAATTTTATTGATATGGTTTAGAAACTAAATGCTCATTTCTGGTGTCACATGCATCTACACTCGAATCTCTGTCTTTTTCACACTGGATAGCTTTGTGGCCTTGGGTATGGCCTCTGATGTTCAACAGTCTCCAATGTCAAAAGGAAATGAACAACAATAACCACTGTAAGACCTTGTCTGTTAGGTGCTTAAACACTAGGATGTTGTGAGCACTTAGTAAACTGTAGCATCGTGGTGACCAGGAACCTGACTCTCTATTTCCTGACTGCTTAGGAGACAACATCTGGTACAAAGGCAGGAAATTAGGCCTATGCAAACCTCCAGGTCACGGCTTCTCCTCTTCTCTGTACTGAGCATTTTCCCAGCCACCTCTTTCACACGTGGTGCTGACTGAATGAAGGCGCCGTTTCTGTATTGTTTCCTTCCCCTCAAGTTGCAGCTCCGCAGTGTTATTAGGGATCGTCTCTCCTGGGTCTCCTCCTGGAGATGTCTGCGGTCCCGGTTTCCCTTCTGGGATGACCTACCCGGTCAGATACTTACACAACAATGTGAATGTCAAGTTCCTCTCCTAAGCACATGAGGATTTTGACATTTAACTTTAGTTCATCCCCTCTACCACCCATGGAAAGAGATGGAAAGATTCTCTCTCTTGTGAAAGTTATCAGAAAATCTTCCTTTGAGATTAGGTTCCACCATACAATATCTATGTGAAATTCTGTAAGCAATTTCACTTGGTAAACGAAAGAAAAAAAATCACTATTTTCTCTACTTCCCGGACACAAAATAAACATTGATGAATTGAATGATCTTGAAGGCTTAAGAAAACCATTTGGAAACTAAAGGATTATAGGACTATAGTTGTGACAGCTACGTGAGCAGAGAGATGCTTTTAGATTTGAAATAATAATTTTTAAGGTGCTGGCTCTGTTGCCTAATTAAAAAGAGAAACAGTGGGGTCATAGCAGCAGAGATTCAAGGAAATTTTAAAACTTGAGAGACTTGTGAGTACAGCAGTTACTGTGTAACGACACGATAGTTCTCATTCGTTCTGAGTATGTCTACAATGAAGCTTTAATAACAACTTTATGCTAGGACTGTTGAAGATTCAATGAGGCATTGATGCAAAAATGTGTTTGTCTGACATAGCGTTCATTAAATGTCAAGTGTTACAAGTGTGAAAATTAGTATTGGGAAATAGTGATGGTCAATGAGGTAACCGTAAATTCTAATAGACACCCTGCAATTATTGGCATCCCCAGTTCTCAGATCTCAGGTGTCTTTCTTCCTATTTATTTCTGAGCCAACTTAAAGCACAAGATATAAATGGAGACACGAAATAAAGTAAGTTTTATATCTTGGTAAAAGATGAACTTGCGCGAAGACTACTCCATCAGATTTACCCCGGTGGTAAGATATGAGTCGAAACTCCTCTTGAGAGTGTGAGAGCTCTAATGAGTTAGCATTAACTATAGGTCAAATCACTGGTCCTTCATGCTGACCATCTCGTAATGTTGTTTTATTAAATTTCTGAACTCGATCCTGGTTTTATTTGGATACTTATCCTGGCATAAAAGCAATGACTAAAATTTTGTGTGTTTATTTTATTCAGGACACTCTTCTTAGATATTAGTGTGTATAGAATTAGAATCGTCCTATTAACTGTGAACATGTGCTATTGGAATCTTCACACTATAGTGCACAAGATGAAGCCAAGAGAGGCATGGCTCCTAAGTCATCAGCTAGAAAGAGGTGGGCCCAGAATCACTGCACTGCCCTGGCTGCAGACCATACTTTTGGTCAGCCCTCTGTCAGGTGCTCCTTGGAGGGTCGGCACGCAAAGGGAAGAGGTCTTGTATGTCCCATTTGTTCTTGTAACTCCAATTAGTATCATAATGCCAAAACCTGGTTGATTAAAAGAATAAGAAGAATGCATTTATTGAGAAGACATTGTGTTAGGCATTGAGGGTGTTGCTTGCTTTAGCAGCACTAGCTGATGATATACGTTCAAGCAGTTATTCTTGTTCTCCAGGAGAAAGTCAGAGTTCCTACTGTGGTGGCCATAATGACACCTTCAAAGTCTCCGATAATTCCTACTCCCTTCATTCCTGCAGACAGAGGAGCAGCATGAGGAGGGAGAACCAGAGCAGCGTGTCCGGCTTCCTCCTCCTGGGGCTCCCCATCCGGCCGGAGCAGCAGGGCGTGTTCTTCGCCCTGTTCCTGGGCATGTACCTGACCACGGTGCTGGGGAACCTGCTCATCATCCTGCTCATCAGGCTGGACTCTCGCCTCCACACGCCCATGTACTTCTTCCTCAGCCACTTGGCCTTCACTGATGTCTCCTTTGCATCTGTCACTGTCCCAAAGATGTTGAGGGACATGCACTCTAAGGACAAGTTCATCCCCTATGCAGGGTGCATTTTACAGATGTATTTTTTTCTAGTTTTTGGCTGTCTTGATAGTCTCCTTCTTGCAGTGATGGCATATGACAGGTACATGGCCATCTGTCACCCTCTACACTATACCACCATAATGAGAGAGGGGCTGTGTGTGCTGCTGGTGGCTGGCTCCTGGCTTGTCTCCTGTGGCACTGCCCTCTTGCACACTCTCCTCCTGGCTCAGGTGTCCTTCTGTGCTGACAATATCATTCCCCACTTCTTCTGTGACCTTCCCCTGCTACTCAAGCTGTCCTGCTCAAATACCTCTGTCAATGAGCTGGCCATATTAACTGCAGGGGCTATGCTTGGCATTATTCCATTGAGTGGTATTATGGCCTCTTATGGCCGTATTGGGGCCTCTATCCTTAGAGTCCCCTCTACCACAGGGCTCCGCAAAGCCTTGTCCACATGTGGCTCCCACCTCTCTGTGGTGTCTCTCTTCTATGGAACAATTATAGCACTGTATTATTCCTCTTCATTAAGTGATTCCAGTGATAAAGCCATGATAGCCTCTCTGATGTATACAGCAGTGACCCCCATGTTAAACCCCTTTATTTACAGCCTAAGGAACAGAGACATAAAGTTGGCTCTGGGGATTCTGTTCAGAAACAACATCCTAGTCACCAAGTGAGAATCACCTAATTGTGTTCTTATTTCACCCACTGGCCTTGTCATAGAGGCCTCCAAAAATTGTGTTATCTATCACCATTGTCACTAGCACCCTCCCAAGTGTCCTTCAGGGGCAGTTATATTATTGGATCCAATCCTTTCCACGTTAGTCCTATCCATTGTCCTTTATTTTTCAATCATCCTAAAAATGGCATTTCTGAAACATTGTAGTCTTCAAAGCACCAAACTACTTATCAGTCAGGTGTGGGGTTCACATTTGTAAATGGGCCGAGCTTTTTTTGTATCTTCCTGGAGAGCGAGGAGACTTGCTGAGACACAGAACACACCAACCACCTCTCAGAAGGAAAACGGCACCAGCATTTTCTATTTCCTTTTTAAAGATAAAAGTGGTTTTGTTTTAAGACATGATTAGATGTACGAAATGTGACGGTGTTTTAGATTAAGCTAGACCTTTTCACTCCCGATTTTCCGACCCCCAGATGGTAGTTGTTCAGAATTCTCAAAGTGCCATAGTATGAATCACCTTGTCTATAGTGAAATGAAGATTTGTACCGTGAAACAGAGCCGTTTAAGTTTTGTGTAGAATGTTGTTTTGATAGGTAAAACAAAACAAAACAAAACAAAATACAAACCCACCTCGGCAATAGGTGATATAGCTTTCAATTATAACTCACAGTTTCTACCCATTAGAGTAATGAGGTATAAATCAGCTCCTTATTTACTCATTCTTATTGGTTGTTTTCCAAAGCTACTAATATTCAATAATGTTTCCAATGTTTATTTTAATAAAATCTAGAATGCTTACCTTCTTAATGTAGTAGCTAGTTAATAAAGTACTTTCAAGGGCTAAATAAACTTTAATTTGATTGTACCTGTGACAAGAACTTAACAGGGCAACACAAAAGAGTCAATCCAATGATCAAATTTCCCCATTCTAAGAAGATTCTAAGTTTTGCTTCTGAGTCGGATTTTTGTGGTGAATACAACCTATCTGCCTAATTTTAGTCTGGAGAAAGGAGTGTTGCCTTGTTCCCACACTGAGCGCTCCCACTTCTCATAGGGAGAAGCTGAGTGCATGCCGTCACAGCTCACACACAGGAAAACACTTATTGTGTGAATATTATGCGCCAGGCGATTTTCTAAGTTCTGGGAATACAAAATGGGAAAGGTAACATCCAAACAAGGACACGACTGAGGACAGGTGAGGGAGCATGGGGATATCTGGGGAAAAGCACTCCAAGCATGAAGATCAGTAACTAGCAATACCCTGAGGTGAGATGGCTACTGGCCTATTAAGGGGGCCTCTGGACAGGGCCAAGTGGGGGAGGGATGGAAGGCAATAAGTTTATAGATATCAGGGGACAAATTTGGTGGGGCAGTTATGGTCATTGTGGATGTATTAGCCAATGTTCTCCAGAGAAATAGAACCCATACGTCATGTGTGTGCGTGAGTGTGTGTGTGTGTCTGTGTGTGCAAATGTGCATTCATGTGTGTGCATGTGTAGAGCGAGATTTATTTTAAGGAATTGGCTCATATGATTGTGCAATTGTGGAAGCTAGTAAGTCCCAAATCTGCTGGGTGGGCGGGCAGACAAATACCTGGGGAAAAGCTGCAGTTTGAGGTGACGGTAGTCTGCCGATGGAATTGTCTCTTCTTTGGGGGAGATCGGAGTTCTACTTAAGGTCTTCAACTGCCTCAATGAGTCCTACCTACATTATGGAGGGCAATCTGCTTTTCAGAGCCTGTGATTGTACTGTTAATCTCATTAAAAAAAAATACTGTTATAGAAACATCTAGAATTGTGTTTGAAAAAATATCTGGGTCGGAGGCCTAGCTATGTTAACACATAAAATTAACCTTCATAGTAGAGATTTTGGTTTTCAGTCTGCATAATAGGGAACCCATTGGAAAGTATTCAATAAAGGAATAACATGACATACTTAATTTCGTTATGTTTTCCTTTAAAAACACCTATATTTTTTAATATAAATGTTTTGGGGTTACACTGGTTCATCACATTATATAAATTTCAAGGTTACAATTATAATGAGACATGGGTATACTCTTTGTGTGCTTACCACCTGAAGTCTAGTCTCTTCCCGTCACCATGTACTTGACCCCCTTTACCCTATTTGTCCTCCCCCAACTCCTTCCCCTCTAGTAACCACCTTTCTGTTGTCTGGATCTATGAGTCTGTGTGTGTTTTGTTTGATCATCTGTTCTTTTTGTTTTAGAAGCCTCATATGAGTGAAATCATACAGTTCTTTTCCTTTAGCATAATACTCTCAAAATCTATCCATCTTTTGCACAAATGTCAATATTTTATCTCCAGATTTTTTTGTGGTGCAAGTGACGTACAATAAACTTTGTAAATTTTACGTGTATAATATATAAATATGAATAGTTTTGACATGTATATACCCATGAAACGATCACTAGAAGCTGTCGAGATTATGAAGTTTCCTCATGCCCACCCTTCTGCTCTTTCTTTCCTCCTCCATCTGTCCCCAGGGGAATCACTGATCTGTTTTCTGTCACATAGATTAGCTTGCATCTTCTAGAAGTTTATCTAAATGGAATCACACATGTTTATTCTTTCATTGCTGTCTTTTTGCACTCAGCATAAGCATTTGGGATTCACCATGTTATAATATGCATCAATATATCTTTCATTATTTTTATTCATTTGTTGATTTTTTAAATTGCTGAGTATGAGGACATTAATTCCGTTGTATGAACATACACAGCTTTCTTTTCCCCATTCACCTGTTCATGGACATTTGGGATTCTTTTTTCTCTAAGTCTGATTTTTACTATTCCCAGGAATGTTTGCCATTTTCCTACCATTTTTTTTTTGAATTAACAGTTTTTCTGCACCTCCTACTTGAGTGTGTGTTTCCCAGGAGGGTTTCTGTTATGTTACTGCTATGTTTCCAAAGTGTATATTACTATCTTACTTTTGCGAGAACCTTAATAATTATTTAAATAAATGAATGAACAAAGGTATTAATTCAACAAAACCTGAGTGCCTCGTGTGAGCCATTGTTGATCCCTGCTGATACAGACAATGAAAATAAACCTTAACACCTTTTAATCTTTCTTTATGGTCTCATTTAACCATCCCTCAAACCCACATGATGAGAATCGTTATTATTTCCACTTTGAAGAACTTAGTCTCAGAGATCTTTGGCAAATTACTCAGATATGCTCTCTTAGTAAGCAGCGAGCTCATAGTCATTTTCCCCAGAGCATATAGTCAATCCCCTACTCCTCAAGAAGTCACGGTCCCTACAATTCAGAACCTCACAGAGGCATGGGGAGACCTGTGCATTCGTAAGGGTGAGGTCTAAAACAGGTCTGTGTATGTGCTGTGGAAGCCTGTGCACTGCCTGAGCCATATGCAGTAGTACAGAGAAGGTGAATTTGTGATGCAGAGGCTGCAGGTGACTGGCGAACCTCCTACTTCTGATCCGGAGACCTGACCTGAAGCCCGAAGTATCACGAACATCATGGACACCTTCTCCACCAACTCCAGTTGCAGCTCAGGCCCTCCGGACCCTAAACATGCTCCTTCCCAAGGGGCCAGGAGGAAGAGGGGCAATTAGTCCGAGTTGAATGCTGCTCCACTTAGGGATTTGGGGCTGTTCTCCTCTCGGGTTTCTTTCTGATGGGTAAAAAGAGGTTGTCTGCTCATTGTTTGGAAGGTGGTGAACAGATGTGAAAGTCCGCAAAAGTCTTCAGGACTTCAAAATTTGCTCTCTTTCCTTCAATCCTGGGGCTTCTGCACAGAAAGTAAAGATTCAGGTAACATCATGAAGCAGAAGGTATCTGAACTCACAGCACTGGTATAGGTCAGCAGGCTCCTAGAAATGTCCATAGTCGTGTGTGTGTGCGTGTGTTCCACTGACTTACACACTGAGTGCCCTCACCTAGAATATACACAAGTCAGGGAATGCTGGAAATTTCCTCGCAGCAACGTGTGCACTTATTTTGGTTGAGTTTTCTTGCTTGTGTGCTTGTGTGCATCACCTGCGATTTGAATATGTATGACCGTTTATGACTTCGATGCATGCGGTAGAGGGTGCGTGATAGTTCTGTGTGTGTAGCTATGAGGTGCATGTGACACTGTCTTTTATTTGTGAATTTTGCATAGATTTGTGTGACGGCGACTTATACCCTGGCTGCATTTACCTACCTTGAGTATAAGCTAGAGAAGTCTATCAAATTCCTTTTGGCAAGTATGTATTTGTCACAGTGAATGCTTTTGTGTGTAACGAACTGACACCCTGACATCTTTACTCACAAAACAGAGACTTTAAATCAAGATACAAATATGTGTGTGTGTTTAACATTCTCACATTCTGACTCTCTACTTGCTAGAGACCAGTATCCACACAGGCAGCTCCAAAAAAGAAAAAAGCCAATTTTGAAAGCCAGTTGGGGGCCATTTTTCAGTGATTTGAATAATACAGGAGGGCGCCTGGAAGCCCAATATTTTTGATACTCGTCTTCAATTTTATTGACATATTTAGCAAATAAAGGCTCATTTCGAGAGTCCCATATGCCTACACTCGAATCTTTGTGTTTTTCACACTGGATCGCTTTGTGGCCTTGAGTTTAGCATGAAATTCCCAGCTGCCTCCATCTGAAATGGTAAGAAACAGGGATAACCACTGTAGATCTTGCCTGTAAGGTGCTTAAATACTAGAACATTGTGAACACCTAGTAAATTGTAGCCTCGTGGAGCCCAAGGCTCCTGACTCTCCATTTCCTGACTGCTTAGGAGACAATATCTGGTACAAAGGCAGGAAATTAGGCCTATGCAAACCTCCAGGTCACAGCTTCTCCTCTTTTCTGTACTGAGCATTTTCCCAGCCACCTCTTTCACATGTGCTGCTGACTGAATTAAGGCACATTTTCCGTATTGTTTCCTTCCCTTCAAGTTGCAGCTCCGCAGTGTTATTAGGGATCGTCTCTCCTGGGTCTCCTCCAGGAGATGTCTGAGGTCCCAGGTTACCTACTGAGATGACCTACCCGGTCAGATACTTACACAACAATGTGAATGTCGAGTTCCTCTCCTAAGCATATGAGTATTTTAACATTTAACTTTAGTTCAGCCCTTGTATCACCCATGGAAAGAAATGGGTAGATTCTCTCTCTTGTGAAAATTATCAGAAAATCTACCTTTGAGATTAGGTCCCACCATATAATATCTATGTGAAGTCCCATAAGCAATTTCACTGCTTCTCTTAGTAAATGAAAAAAAAAAATCACTATTTTCTCTACTTCTCAGACACAAAATAAACATTGATGAATTAAATGAACTTGAAAGGTTTATGAAAGCCATTTGCAAACTAAAGGGCAATAAGACTATGAGTGGTGACAGCTATCTGAGCAGGAGGATGCTTTCAAATCTTGAAATAATATTTCTTAAGGTCCTGGTTCCTTTGTCTAATTAAAGAGAGAGAGAAACAGTAAGATCATAGCAGCAGAGATTCGAGTAAATTTAAAAAACATGAGAGAATTATGACTACGGCAGTTACTGGGTGACATCATGATCGTTCTCATTCCTTCTGAGTATGTCTATAATGAAGCTTTAATAACACCCTTATCCTAGGACAGTTGAAGATTCAATGAGGGAATAATGCAAAACTGTGTTTCTCTGACATAGCATTCATTAAATATCAAGTATTACAAGTGTGAAGATCAGTATTGGGAAAGAGCGATGGTCAACCAGGGAACTGTGAATTCTAGTAGACACCTCACATCCTTTGGCATCCCCAGTTCTCAGATCTCAGATCGGAGGTGTCTTTCTTTCTACTATTTCTGAGCCAACTTGAAGCACCAGATATAAACGAAGACATATGAAATGAAGTTTTTTATCTTGGCAAAAGATGAACTTGCATTAAGACAAGTTCCATCAGATTTACCGCAATGATTGGATCTGAGCTAGAAACTCTTTTTGAGAGTTTGAGAGCTCTGATGAGTTAGCATAAACTTTAGGTCAAATTCTTGGTTCTTGGTGCTGACCATCTTGTAATGTTCTTTTATTAAATTACTGAACTTGATCCTAGTTTTATTTGGATACTTATCCTGGCATAAAAGGAATTGCTAAAATTTTGTATGTTTATTTTATTCAGGACACTCTTCTTAGATATTAACGTGTATAGAATTCAAATCCTCCTATTAACTGTGAACATGTGCTATTGGAATCTTCGCACTACAGTGGCACAAGATGAAGCCAAGAGAGGCGTGGCTCCTAAGTCATCAGCTAGAAAGAGGTGGGGCCAGAATCACTGCACTGCCCCTGCTGCAGATCCATACTTTGGTCAGCCCTCTGTCAGTTCCTTCCTGGAAGGTTAGCATGACGAGGGAAGAGGTCCTGTGTGTCTCATTTGTTCTCATCACTCCAATTAGTATCATAATGCCAAAACCTGGTTGTTTAAAAGAATAAGAAGAATGAATTTATTGGGAAGAGATCATGTTAGGCATTGAGGGTGTTGCTTGCTTTAGCAGCACTAGCTGACGATATATGTTCAAGCAGTTATTCTTTTTCTCCAGGAGAAAGTCAGAGTTCCTACTGTGGTGGTCATAATGACACTTTCAAAGTCTCTGATAATTCCCACTCCCTTCATTCCTGCAGACAGAGCAGCAGCATGAGGAGGGAGAACCAGAGCAGCGTGTCCGGCTTCCTCCTCCTGGGGCTCCCCATCCGGCCGGAGCAGCAGGGCGTGTTCTTCGCCCTGTTCCTGGGCATGTACCTGACCACGGTGCTGGGCAACCTGCTCATCATCCTGCTCATCAGGCTGGACTCTCGCCTCCACAGCAGCCACTTGGCCTTCACTGATGTGTCCTTTGCATCTGTCACCGTCCCAAAGATGTTGAGGGACATGCACTCTAAGGACAAGTTCATCCCCTATGCAGGGTGCATTTTACAGATGTATTTTTTCATAGTTTTTGGCTGTCTTGACAGTCTCCTTCTTGCAGTGATGGCATATGACAGGTACGTGGCCATCTGTCACCCTCTACGCTATACCACCATCATGAGGGAGGGGCTGTGTGTGCTGCTGGTGGCTGGTTCCTGGCTTGTCTCCTGTGGCAGTGCTCTCGTGCACACTCTCTTCCTGGCCCAGCTGTCATTCTGTGCTAACAATATCATTCCCCATTTCTTCTGTAGTCTTTCCGTCCTCCTCAAGCTGTCCTGCTCAAATACCTCTCTCAATGAGCTGGTCATATTCATCGTAGGGGCTCTGGTTGTCATTTTTCCATTTATTGCCATCGTTGTCTCTTATGGTCGTATTGGCACTTCTATCCTGAGAGTCCCCTCTACCACAGCGCTCCGCAAAGCCTTGTCCACATGTGGCTCCCACCTCTCTGTGGTGTCTCTCTTCTATGGAACAATTATAGTACTGCACTATTCCTCTTCATTAAGTGATTCCAATGACAAATCTATGACTGCCTCTCTGATGTATACTGTGGTGACCCCTATGTTAAACCCCTTTATTTACAGCCTAAGGAACAGAGATATGAAAGGAGCCATGGGAAAACTTCTCAGAAGGAAGATCTTTTTCTCCATGTGACAGTCTCCTACTTATGTTCCTATCCACAGACCCCATCAGAGAGATCTCCTTGAAAAATGTGTAGTTAGGTGACCAACCTTGTTTCTTGCTCTCTACAAACTCTTAACTTTGAGTGGTGAACATGCAATGCAATATACATAGGATGTATTATTGAATTGTACACTTGAATCCTATTTGATTTTATTAACCAACGTTACCTCAATGATTTCAATAAAAAAGAATAATCTCTTCTGTTTTTGGTCTCCTATATTTCTTGAGATTAGAAGTGTGAAATATAATTACAAAAGGTACCTTCTCACTCTTCAAATTCTTGACTCCTGGGTTGAAGATTGGAACTGTCAAATGTGTTGTGAGATGCTAATTTTAAAATACAATGTATTTGATACCTTATTTGAGTTAGTTTTAATGTCTATAAAACTGAGTTGCTTTAGAAATTAAGGTGTCACAAAATAGTTGCATAAAAATTAGTGATAATCTATTGTTTAGTTTATTTTTCCTAGAGCTATAAAAACATGGTGTAGTTCCTAGTTTTCAGAGCAAGAAGGTTCAAAATGTTTGTCTTTCTAATGAGGTAGATGATTAATAAAGTGTTCTCTTATGGCTTCCTAAAACCTAAACAAAATGCAAAGCTTTTGATATTGCTAACTAATTTTACTATGCTCTTGGTGAAAAGAGCCCAAGAGGAATTCATAGGGCAATTACTGTTATGAACAAATTTCCCGGTTATAAATCTTTTTTCCCCTAAAGGACATTTCTTAGTGGAATGGTCTATATTCTTCTTTCTTCTAGTTTGGAAAAATGAGGATTATTTCTTGCTGCTCAAACTGAGACAATACATTTCTTGTTAAAGTAAAAATAAATGTAAGCATAGGATTAAACACTCATTAAATAAATTTATATTTCATACCTGCCATGTGCCAGGCACTTTTCTATACAAATGAGTCAAAATTTCTACCTTTGAGAAGCTTACATTATAGAGGAGAGACACTGTCAATAAAAAAATACAGATGTAATATACATTGTATAAGATAATGAGTGTTATATTATGAATGACAACACAAAGCAATATATAGATTTAATGCAATCCCCATCTAAATACCAATGGCATTTTTTAAAGAAATAGAATAAGGGAGACTGGGCAAAATGGTGTAGATCTCAGAGGCTTTGTACATCTCCTCTTGTGACCACACCAAAATTGTGACGAAACACGAAGCAAACAGCAAGCAGAGTCACCTGGGATCTAGATGAACAGAAATCCTACAACTAGGGAGAGAAATAAGAAATCACCCTGCAGTGGCAGGAGGTAGGAGGGGGCAAAGACGTGAGGCTAGCTGTTCCTGAATGGCTGAGTGGGACAGAGGCTACGACAGCTGCAGATGCTCCTTTTAAAGGGGCCATGTCCTCCAACTTGACTTTCGCAGTGAAGGACTCACTTGCTCTGAGCACCAGCTGCTCAGAGGGCATCAGGGACTTAGAGGGAGACACTGAGTTGTTTGAGCGAGAGCAGGAGGCAAGGCTCTCTCTGGGGCAGAAGTGCTGGTGGTATCCATTGTCCCTCTGTTGAGCCCTCCCCACTCCTAGTGTGCAGACAAGAGCCACCATAGCTGAGATGTCATCAAACTGGATAACAGAGATTGCTCCACCCAGAGGATTCACTGAAACTCTGCCTCCCTCAACTCGTGGCCCTACCTAAGCCATGTCCAGTTGTGTCCTTGGCAAGTCCAGTGCTCCTTGTGGAGCAGCTCCAAAACCTGCTATTGTGGCAGCTGGCCTTGGTTTCTGGCGTGGCCCCTTGAGGCAACTATAAGCACAGCATCTGTGGATTGCTTGCTGAATCTTACCAGGTGGCCCTGGAGGGGCACAGGCTGGGGCTAAATTTGGCCTGCAGCTGGACCCCTCTCAAGACTGTGCCACTGGACACCTACTACACAAAGCCACACTAATAAGACTGGGAGACATGGAAAGGCAGCCAAATGTGAAGACAGAGAAACAGGTCCCATATGAAAGAAGAGAACAGTGCTCCAGGAAAAATGGAGGCAAGCAATCTAATAGATTCGGAATTCAAAACGCTGGTTATAAGGATGCTCAATGAACTTAGAGGAAGTGTAGATGAACTCAGTGAGAACTTAAGGAGGTAAAAAACATACAAATGGAAATAGAAATTATAAAAGGGAACCAGTCAGAAATAAACACATTATCTGACATGAAGAGTATATTAGAGGGAATCAACAGAGTGGATGAAGTGGAGGATCGAATCACCGATAGAGAGGGTGGGGAAGCCAAGGTCACCCAACCAGATGGCAAGAAAAAAGAATCCAAAAATATGATAATAATTTAAGGAGCCTACGGGACAAAATTAAATGTAACAAAATTCACATCATAAGGGTACCTGAAGAAGAGGGAGATCAAGAAGTTGAAAACCTATTTGAAGAAATAATGATGGAAAACTTCCCTAACCTGATGAAGGAAATAGACATACAACCCCATGAAGCTCAGAGAGTCCCAAAAAAGATGAACCCAAAGAGTCCCACACCAAGATACATCGTAATTAAAATGCCAAAGGTTAGATACAAAGAGAGAATCTTAAAATCGGCAAGAGAAAAGCAGTTTTGAGAAACAAGGCAGCTGGTTTCTCAAAAGACTTTGCAGAACTGAAGGGCTTGGCACAAAATACTAAAAGTGATAGGAACCCAGGACCTACAACCAAGATTACTTTATCCAACACAAAGCTATCATTTAGAGTAGAAAGACAAATAAAGAGCTTCCCAGACAAAAAGTAAGAAAGAAAAAAAGAAAAAAGCTAAAGGAGTTCACCAACACCAAACCAGTATTATAGGAAATGTTGGAAGGACTTCTTTAAGAAGAAGAAAACATGAATAAAGAATGGTAATAAATACATATCTATCAACAACTACCTCAAATGGAAAAGAATTAAATGCTCCAGCCAAAAGATAGGGTGGCTGAATGGATAAGAAAACAAGACCCATACATATGCTGCCTACAAGAGACCTACTTCAGATTAAAAGACAGACACAGACTAAAAGTAAGGGGATAGAAAAAGATACTGCCTTGATAGACCTAGAAAGTATTGTTCTGAATGAAGTAAGTTAGATAGAGAAAGACAAATGCCATATGATTTCATATACCTGTGGAATCTAAAGAACAAAATAAACAATGACAACAACAAAAAATGGAAGCAAACCCATAGACACAGAGAATATTTAGAGGGATACTAGATGGGAGGCAGGTTCTGGGGGTCGGTGAAAAAAAGGCAAAGGGTTTAAGAAATGCAAATGAATAGTTACAACATAGTCATGGAGCTATAAAGTGTAGCATAAGGAAAATAGTCAACGATGTTGTAATAAATATATAAGGGGAAAGAAGGGTACTAGATTTAGTGGGATGATCACTGTGAGTTATATAGATCTCTAATCACTATGCTGTACAACTGAAATTAATATATTCTTGTATGCCGACTATAAATGAAAAAAACTCATTGAACTGTACATTGTAAATACAAGCAACTAATTGTCTATTGTATTTCAGTAAAGCTGAAAAAAAAAAAAAGAAATGGAACAAAAAATCATCAAGTTTGTATGGGATCACAAAAGATCCTGAAGAGCCAAAGCAAAAAAAGAACAAGGCCAGAGGGATCACACTGCCTGACTTCAAATATGCTACAAAGTGACAATAATCAAAACAGCATGGTATTGGCAGAAAAACAGACACACAGACCAATGGAACAGAATCGAGAGCCCAGAACAGAAATAAACCCACATATATGTGGGCAAATAATTTTTGACAAAGCAGCCAAAAACATACAATGGAGAAAAGAAAGCCTCTTCAATAAATGATGCTGGGAAAATTGGAGAGCCACATATAAAAGAATGAAACTGGACCATACATTAAAATGAACTCAAATGGATCAAAGACCTAAATATAAGACCTGAATCACTAAATTGCATAGAAGAAAACACAGGTACTAAACTCATGGACCTTGGTTTTAGAGAGGATTATATGAATTTGACCTCAAAAGCAAGGGAAATAAAAGTAAAAATAAATAAATGGGACTATATCAAACTAAAAAGCTTCTGCACAGCAAAAGAAACCATCAAGACAAAGAGAAAACCATCCGAATGGGAGAGGATATTTGCAAACAACACTTCCGATGAGGGCCTAATATCTAAAATATACAAAGAACCCATACAATTCAAGAATAAAAAAATAAACAATCCAATCAAAAATAGGCGGAAGACCTGAATAGACATTTCTCTCAAGAAGACATACGAATAGCCAATAGTCATATGAGAAGAGGCTCAACTTTCCCCCTAAGAGCTTTTAGGAAAATACGAATCAAAACCACAATGAGATACCATCTCACACCTGTTAGAACGGCTATCATCAACAGGACAAATAATAACAAGTGTTGGAGAGGTTGTGGGGGAAATGGAATTCTCATATATTGCTGGTGGGAATGTAAATTGCTACAGCCACTATGGAAAAAAGTATAAAGGTTTTTCAAAAATTAACAATAGAATTACCATCTGATCCAGTA